TGCCGTTAATAGGCTTTATAGCTAGAAGGATCAGATGATTTTTTGAGTTCTTAAAGAATGGAACTACAGAAGAGGATTTCAGGAAAGCAAGGAGCAACAAGGCATTTATTATACAATTCGGGAGAACAAAGCACATTTTTTTTTTTATCTAGCAGGGATAATATCAAGCCCACATTTGTGAAGATCCAGATTAGAGATGACAGCAGAAACCATGGACAGAGTTATATGCATATCACTAAAAAAGAGACTTTTGGGTTCAAAATGGAAAGTCATGCAAAGATACTCCAGATGAGTTAAAAAGGAGAATTTGTTTGAGATATTCAGTAAATTTCCTATGGCCATAATAACTTTCAAATAGTATGGCATTGTTCACAAATGTAATAATCAAACAAAAAAAACAGGGATGAATTGTCAGAGCTTGGTACAACTGGAAACACATGAACACACCTCATTCTTTTGCACATTTACTGTAAAGTTAGGTACCTCCACGAGATCGCTAAAAAAGAGCATAGCATGATGAAAAAAAAATGCCAAACTTGACGAAAAACAAAATTTTTATCGTCTAAATGTTTGTTATTCATTAAGAGAAAAGGTCAAAAGTATTTTTTTTTTTTTTTCCATTTTTAATCGTTCCTAGCACGTCCGAAATTTTCGTTAAAAATCTAGTTTTTTTGAGTCAGCAAAATTGACCATTTTTTTCCATTTTAAAAAAAACTGAAATCTGACTTTGAAATTTTTTTTAAATATCAATTATCATTTTTTCAAAACTTATTTTAAGAAAATCAGAAATTATAATGTTTATTTAAAATATTTTGAACCAAACTTAACTTAGCTTTTGTGCCAAAAAGATGTAATTTGAAAATAAAACAAAGCAGGTCATAAACTTTCGCGTCTCTTGACATGTGATGAATGATATGTTTACGAATTCCATGAGGCTAATTTGTTCTACGGAAGGAGAAAAGTGAAATAATTTACATTTACGTGAACAAATTATTTACCCGTTATTTTTAAATTAAAAACTTTCAGCGGTCTAATTTTTTTTTTTTTTTGTACTTAGCTTTCACCTTTACGTTTATGATGCTTTATGGGAAATATATTGTAAAGAAATTAAAATAAAACTGTTAAGAGTGACATTAAATTTCATATTTCTTAAGAAAGGTATCTAATTAATTTATAGGTACCTTTCTTATGAAATTTTATCAGAATTGTACATAAAATACTATAATTTTATGTACATTTATTACATTCTACTGTTATTTGTATTTGCATTCATTTTATTATTAATTTTGATATTTCATTTATGGAAAAATGTCGTAACTGAGATTAATATAAAAATAAGATCATATAAATTTCATAAGATGATACTGATACTTGTAGGTAACCTTTTCAGTTGAAATTGAAAAAATCAAATTAACTTCTCCACACGTGTTTTAGAAAAAGTAAAGGCCTTAACAGCGGAGAACAATGCTTAACTCAAATAACGCAACTTAATTATATTCTGGCTGGTCTTCCGTATTTTATAATTACAGCTCGATTATAAGCACAAAATTACATTTTTTAATTACTGGGGATCTTCTGATTAGTCAAAATGATACAATTTACAACGCGCTAAAAAAAGATCTATCTCATAAGGACACTTATGAAAGCCTGTGCGGCTTTTAACTAATTTTATAATATTTTAACAACTTAAATGTAAAAATCTATTATAATTAATGAAATAACAAATAATTGTATTAAAAATTCATTTTTCATCGAAAAATTTTTTTTGCTTTCAGAAAATATTGTCCATATTCATAAAAACAACTAAAAGCAAATAAAAGCATTTGAAATTAAATAATATCTTTGTTTTATTGAGTTTTGTATGTTACAATTCAGAGCTGATCTTCAGGTACTGGGTATCCAATTAAAAACAAAAAAAAAAAAACATGATTTGCATTCCTCAAAGCCCTGTGCTTTTTAATTATTGTAATCACTAAAACCGATGCGATCAATTTCTAGCGTTTTCATAAAATTAGTTAGGGGGGGGTAATAAATATTTTAAAAAAAATATTTCTACCATGACTTTCATAAAAAAAACATATTTATAATAATTTCGATCATCTGTGAATAGTTCCTGAAAGTTTCATTAACATCCGATAATTATTTCTATTTTTGCACGTTTTTTCAAATTAATGTGTGTCATACCAAAAAAAAAAAAACGTGCTAAAATTGTCTATGTTATTTACTAGTTCCGCTGATACAAATAGAAACAAGGTTTTTTTAATCAAAATTTAGAATTTTCTAAAAGGAAAATTTTTTAAAATAATTAAAAAAAACTTTGGTCTTTCCTCTAAATAATAACATAAGCATTTAGACAATAAAATTTTGTTTTCGGCAAGGTTGGCGTCTTTTTTATCAAGCTATGCTCTTTTTTTAGCGATTTCGTGGAGGTACCTATGTAAAGTTGAGGTTAATAAGAGGTTCTTTGAGAATTTTTCCCTTTTAACACCTTAATAATCCTTCGCAATCTTTGAATCAAAGGCTGTTTGAATGCCAATTTAGGACCTAATTTGTTGCAAATTTCATCCAAGTAACTGAAATAATCTAAACCAAACATCCACACAAGACAATTTGTGTCATATGTAATTTACATGGCAAAATTGGAAAGCATCAGATGAAAAACTAGAGTTATGGAAAAAAAAAAAAAAAAAAAAAAAGGGCTTTTTGAACAGATTTTTGTTGTGTTTCATTATACACAGGGAAGCAGGTAAGACTAAAACCACACTATCTTGCATGATAGCAAATTTTTTGCTACATGTTTGAAGGAAATCTGATAAAAATGAGGAAGTTATTCAAGTTTTTTTTTTTTTTTTTTTTAAGTAGTATGAGAAACAATTTTTTCACAGTATTTTGCAATTTTTTGTGTGAAGCCAATGTTGCAGGAAAACTATCAAGCCCTCTACATAGACATTAGCTTCTATTTTGTTAAGTGCAAAGAACATCTGCTTATCCAGCAAAAGATTTCATGTGTAACTGCCTTGGTTTTTGCAAAAAGTCGTACCCACCTTCAGTTTTAGTGATTTTTCTGTCAAACCAGGGTGCCTAGAGATTCAAAAGTTGGTCTTGACCTACCTTGGTAAATTTGCAACATGTGTATACAATTTTATCGAAATTGGTCAAGAAATGTTGATGTGCATAAATAGCAGACACACACATCTTGTGTTTTAGATATGACTACAGCTTTATTTTTTGACATTTGAACATTTTATTTTGGTAAAAAGGGACTACTTCAAGTTTTAACTTTCTTTAAAGTAAACAATATGTAATATAGATGTATTGTTATTTGTTGTAAATTTTGAATGAATAAAGTTCTTCAAGAAAATTTACAAAGAAATGAGGCTATATAGTTTTTGCTTCTTAAAAAGAACTAAAACTATTTATTTACTACTTTTTTATTAAAATAATAATTTAAAAAGAAGATACAAGAACTTAACTTTAACTTAGGTAAATCAATTTTATTTGCTTGAAAACAATAATTATTAAATAAATACTTATTTTAAAAATATTGGCAGGTGAGAATAACACCCACACCCCACCCAGAATGTACAGCTCTGGTATTGTTGTATTTTAAGTTATTTAAAAGGTATAGGGGAGGTGGCTTAGCCCCCAAATCTCCATTACAGAACGGTCCTAAAATCAATTTTCAATCGACATTTCAATTTCATAGTTACTGAATTTTCCGGGCATCAGGAAAAGTCCTTCCTGTAGGTAGGCTAGGCAGCTGAACAGGAAGTAAAGTAACCGAGTAAAGATTGTGGTTTCACCTGGTATTTCCGACAAGGAACAAAAAAAATCATCAATGCCAGCTTTAACCCAAGAAAAACACCTCTATGGCACAATTCAAGAGCCCTCTCAAAGAAAGTCATGAAATGAATCCCAATCAGTATGCTGGAAAGAAGTCTTGTGAATAGGAGGTTCTTTTCTAACAGATGACTCAAAAAAGTAATATCAACAGATACTACGTTTGATCCAAATTGTTTAAGAGGACATTTGTGATGCTTGACAAAAGCTAGGAGAGGAGGAAAGGAACAAAAATCAAGTAAAAAAAATTAAGATAGGTATTAGGGAAACTAGTAGAGAAATTCACTATTTGACTGAGAGACTAAGCAACAAAAAAAGAATTGAAAGTCTGAATACGTACCAGCACCCTCAGTAGTGTTAGAGAGTCTTACGTTACTGATCATGTCAATTGGCTTCCGCTTAATCATTGTATGTTGAGAATGAAATCCAATTGGCGTGATGAGCATTAAAATCAGCAAACACAAAAAATGTTCGCAGATGAATGTAGAAAGAGAGCCATTTCATTTATTGTCAGTTACGTTACTATTTCTTTCTTCGGACAAATGTCTGGAATAGATATTGGATTTTATAAGGATTTTAAAAAAATTAAAATGTTTTACTTTTAGTAAAGTTTCTTTTTGTCGGCGACCCATCAAATTCGCTGAGCAAAAGTTTGGTTTTTACATTTTTGGCTTAAAATTTTTTTTATTTACGAACGAAAATTAATTTTTCTAAAGATTCATTATATCTCTCAAAAAAAAAAAAACAAAAAACAAATTAACTTCAAAGACATTTATTTTAAAATAAAATGCATTTTTCATTTTTTTTAAAATCCGTGAGTACGTGGAGGTACGTACCTAATTAACATACGCAGAAAATAAAAAGCTTTAAAAATTTTTTTTTTTTACATCTTATGCCGAACTAGAGTTAACTTTAAGTTCACACCTTAAGTTAAAAAAGCATCTTAAAAAAAAAAAAAAAACATTAATTACCGTTCTCAGAGCTTTGTTATGTACAAAAATTAGACAAGACAATATATGCCAGCACTACAATACGAGGAAGTATGAAAAAAAAAAGTAATTATTTTAAATTCACATATATGTATTAATCAGGAAAAGCAGGTACATTTGGTTATTTCATGTTCATACTGACTGCAAAATAGTTAGAAAATAATGACTTACCTAAAATAATATTGAAATATGTTAAATGATCTGTTGAAAACAAGCAGAACAATAGAATGGAACTGTAAATAATAACTCTCCTGAATTGGAGGCAAATAAACAAAATTAATTCCCTTGCATCTACATCTAGCAGAAAAAAAAGAAACATCAAATTCTATTATTTTCACTGTCGGGAATGACATATTTCCTGCAATGTCACTGAAAATAAAAACGTTCATACTCATAGCGATTTTTTTAAACAGGTATTGTTGAGACCAGAAATACATGTTTTCATACGAGTTAATTTTTTTTTATTTGCTAAATTTTAAGTTAGGTACCACCAAACCAAAAAGATGCTTTATTTTTTTTAAATGAAAGCAAAAAATTGTTAACTACTAATAATATTTGTTTGACCCAAATCAGGGAATTATCAGAGTCGAACGAAATTTTTAGTACTTATTCATTAATGACTTCTATATGGAATAGGTTACTTTCAGAAAACTAAAAAAAAACTATTTTGGGAATCTGTTTCACCACCCAAGCACACACACACACACTTTTCGCTTTACTTTCAATATTTCGTGTACTTTTTAATTTTAATTTAGTTCGGGAGAGAGTGTTCGTCAATTTCTTCTTTACAGTTCTACAAATAAAAATCCTTGAAGATGTTATTTCATTAAAAAAAAAAAAAAAAAAAAAAGCAATATCAATGTGTACATACTGAGAAAAAGGACAAAGTTAAATTTGCTTTTTAAGCCCCGCAAAGAAAATCTATTATAACTTTCCCAAATCATCATATTTCCGTGTAAATGTATATGCTGAACTCGAAAATAGCGCCCAAATTCTGATAAAACCTACCGTTTTGAAGTTTTCGACAATAAAATTTCGGACTCCGTCGCGTTCATTCATCCGCCATTACCAGCCTTGTTTAACTACATTCACTGCTGAACATTTTACCCGCGGAATCATAATTAACGGCCTATAATTTACTGCTTTATAATGATCTTACTCGTGTAAATTACTGCGCAATGTCGGCAAGCAATTACAAATGGACATGTATTTTTTTTAACTGTTTTTTTTAGAAATAAAACAAATAATAATTAATGCACGGACTTTGAAAAGAGCATGATTCCTACCCCTAATCCTAAACCTAACAGTTAGAGCAGTGCTTTTCAACCTTTTTGCTGGAGTGGAACCCCATGGAAACATTCCACTGGCTCGAGGAACCCCTGTGCAATAATTTGGTTGTCTTATGCAAAAAACAGCATTTAATTAATTATACAAAAAAATGCAATTTGTAATAAAATGAAAATATTCATGTTCAGAGTATTGTAAATGAAATGAAAACAAAAGTGTACATGTTTGAATAGATTACATTTATTGTTATGAAAAAAGTCAATGGGAAACTTGAGCCTGGTGTTTCTTGCACAACTCTTTAAGATTGGGTCGTGTTTTTGACAGACACACACGAAGTTCATCTTCCACAGACCGCAATTGAGCTCGTTTCTTGTGCTTGATGGTTGTCAGAGCTGAAAATCCAAATTCACACAAGTAGGAGGTTGAAAATTGCACAAGAAGTCGTAGCGCTTTCTGGGCAATTGCAGGATATTCCTTTTCAACCAGCAACCAAAAATGCATTCAGGTTAAGTTCAGAATGCTTCAGCTTTAATGTCCTGTCATTTAGAACACTGGCAAGTTCTTCTTCTTCTGTTAATGTGAACTGTTCTTCAGGCGGCTCAAATTCTACAAATGGGTTTCTAATCCAGTCATACTGCTCAACAGATATTGATGGAAAATATTTGTCAAGATTTGTTAACAAAGTGTCCAAATGGTTCAAAATCAGTAGCCTAATTTCTTGACAATTCCTTTTAAAAACACATGGAAACATTTCCAAATTTCCTGCAGCTATGCGTTTCTTCCATATTGTCAATTTCTTCTGAAAAGCATTTATTTTGTCAGTAGAAGACAAGATATTTTCGTTCCTGCCCTGCATGCTATTGTTCAAGAGGTTTAGTTCATGAAATATATCGGCAAGATATGCTAACTTCGAACACCAATGGCCATTACTTAAACATTCTACAAAGTCTTTCAGGTTTTCTTGCAAACAAAAGGTCAATAACTATTCTCTTAATTCGTAAAAACGAGACAATACTTTCCCCCTTGACAACCATCGTATTTCTGTGTGCTGGATTAAGGTGGAATGTTCTGCTTCCATACCCACACAAAGTTTCTCAAACTGTCGACATTTAAATGGCCTCATCTTGATGTAATTAACTATTTTAACTACCATATCCAATGCAGATTTTAGTTCAGATCCAAGAGTTTTCGCTACTAGTGCTTCTCTATGAATGAAACAATGAGTATGGATAATATTTGGATTTTGTTTTTTGTGCGATTGAGACAAAGCCTTTAAGACATCCTGTCATTGCAGGGGCACCATCTGTACAAATACCAGCACAGTTTTTCAAGTTTAATCCACAATACTCTAAATATGAATTCAAAACATCAAATACATCTTGTCCTTTCGTTGTCCCTGGCAATTCTTTTGAGACACAGGAAGTCTTCTACAATAGCTTCATCATCAATAAATCGAACAAATACAAGGAGTTGTGCTTTACAACTAATGTCCGTACTCTCATCAACTTGAAGTGCAAAAAAGTTAGGTTTCAGTATTTCTGATTTAAGATTGCATTCAATGTCTCCTGACATGTCTTGAATGCGCCTACTTATTGTGTTGTCAGAAAGTGGAATTTCATTTACTTCTGATACAGCATCCTCTCCAAACATTATCCTCACTATTTCTTGGCATGCAGGTAAAATTACAGTTTCATCGATGGTATGAGATTTCACTTTTCTTGCAACGATCTCCGCCACAGCATAACTTGCTTCTTGTGCTTTGTCACTCAACTTGAATTTTTTGGCAAACATAGAAACCTGCCTTTTATTACATTTCATTTGTCGTTGAAAATATTGTTCATCTTTGCTCGACAACTCTGGATGTTTAGTTACTAAATGTCGTTTCAGTTTGGCTGGTGCCATAGCCAGCTTCTCCCCACAAATAATACACAAAGGTGAAGGGCACTCTGGGTTTCCAGTCCAAGTAAATCCCAGAGCTATGTAGTTTTCACAATATTGACGAACTTTTAGTTGTAGGTTAATTCCACCATTTCTTGATTTCGATGAGGCAGCATTGCTGGTAGTAGTTTCGGCTTCAAAAGAGTGCCTCAGATCCTGTGTCTCTTCATCCGCATCTGTCTTGCGTTTTTTTATTTACACAAATCTATCCATGGTTGTAAAATCTGTAAAAGAGTTTCGATGATTTGGAAATTGAAAAAAAAATAACAACAGTTAATCGGCCGTCTGACAGTTTGTGGGTTAATAAAATAGATTTTCGAATTTGAATTTAACATGTTGTTTATTTGTTCGTGTTCTAATTTAGAAATTGCGGAACCCCTGGACTGTACTGGCGGAACCCTAAGGTTCCGCGGAACCCTGGTTGAAAACCACTGAGTTAGAGTTAGGAGTTAGGGTTACTAACGTTAACCTAGGGTTAGGGTTTAGGGTTATGGTTTGGTTAGTTATCTTGCTCTTTCCTAATTTCGTGCAAAGTTTGCGCATTAATTATTATTTATTTTATTTTTAATTTAAAAGAAGAGCTTTATTTTATTATTTAAATTAAAAAAAAACTTTAAACAGAAAGCTTTATTTACCACTTGTCATTGCGCAGTAATTTACACGAGTAAGATCATTAAAGCAGTAAATAGGCCGTTAATTACGATTCCGCGAGTAAAGTGTTCCGCGGTGAATGTAATTAAAGAAGGCCCGTAATTGCGGACGAATGAACGTGACTGACTCCGAAATTTTATTAACGAAAACTGCAAAACGGTAGGTTTTATCAAAATTTGGGCGTTATTTTCGAGTTCAGCATATACATTTACACGGAAATGTGATGATTTTGGAAAGTTATAGATTTTCATTTTTCAGGGTAAATTTGCTTTTTAAAAGCTAATTTACCCTGAAAAATGAAAATTTGTCCCAAATCTTACAAAAATAATTTTAGAATTATAGTTTGCATAATTTAATAAAATATTTATTTTCTTTCAGAATAGAGTGTCGTGTCGACTGGGGAAAAATAAATAAAATCAGACATTTACTAGGCATAGGCTCCGAAGATAAAAAAAAAAAAAGAAAGAAAGGAGTCAGAGAAGAGGATTCCGTGTTGCGAACTGAGACATGTATCACTATTCAACTGAATTAACATTTCCTGCTTTGTCGACATAGATTCTCCAACAAAATTAATTACCTACATTTCCCTTCTTCTCAAGGCTTTTAACATACCAAACGGTATAAATTGTTATTTGTTACTAAAAAATCTATATCTTGAGTTTTCTTTTTCATTTAAAATTCGCTTGTTTAATTTTAATGCAAAGCATGACCATTACTGTGATACGTCTTTTTCAAAGTACGTAGTTTCAAGATTGTCTTATTCCGAACAGTACTCGGAATAACTGTAACGACCCCCCCGGAGGGGGTGTCGATGTGAAACGGTCCGAGCGCCCCGAATCGGTAGGAGGTCACAAGAAGCCCACTAACATTTTCAAATTAGAGACATAAATTCTGACAGTTGAAACAAAATGGACAACAGAACGAGGATATATTAATTAATGCAAAGATTTAGATTAAGATTAATGCAAAGTTTATTTACAAAGCAGACCTGATTGGCCGTGGGTTAGATGGTCTGTAGTGGAAAGTTTGGTGGTTGCCATTTATTTAATGGTGTTGACGGCCCAAATCAATCCATACAATTTTTTACTCAATGAATATGCTAAGCAAAATGCAAAAACAACAAGAAAAAACAAGAAAAAAGATTTGTGATAAAAGACAAAAGGCAAATATTTGAATAACAAGTAATTTTCAATATATTTTTATAATGGAAATATTTTACAAAAATGTAGTGGATTCTTTTAAGGTGAAATCTTTTTAGTTTAATTTATGTTGAACTCAAGTTTGGTAAAAGATTAAATTATGTTAATGAGTTTTGATTTGAAAGAATGTTTGTTAGAATCTGTTATTGAAGATTCTGTAAATTAATTGCAACAAAAATTTACATTTAAGAATTTACTGTTCATGTAAGTAGTAAATGTTTGTAAAGTTGAATGCGATGATCAAAGAATTTATCTACCTTTGATTGTTTTGAAATAAA